CCCCAATACCCCATTACCCCCACCACCCCATCATCCCATTACCCCCCAATCATCCCCATCACCTCCATAACCCCATTACCCCCCATCACCCCATCACCCCAACCACCCCATTACCTCCACCACCCCATCATCCCATTACCCCCTAATCATCCCCATTACCTCTCCACCACCCCATTACCCCCATCACCCCATTACCTCCACCACCCCATCATCCCATTACCCCCCAATCATCCCCATTACCTCTCCACCACCCCATTACCTCCACCACCCCATCATCCCATCACCTTCATCATCCCCATTACCTCCACCACCCCATCATCCCATTGCCCCCCAATCATCCCTATCACCTCCATCACCCCATTACTCCCATCATCCCCATCACCTCCACCACCCCATTACCCCATACCGCCCCATTACCTCCATCACCCCCTTACCCCATACCGCCCCATTACCTCCACCACCCCATCATCCCATTACCCCCGAATCATCCCCATCACCTCCATAACCCCATTACCCCCCATCACCCCGACCACCCCATTACCTCCACCACCCCATCATCCCATTACCCCCCAATCATCCCCATTACCACCCACCACCCCATTACCCCCATCACCCCATTACCTCCACCATCCCATCATCCCATTACCCCCCAATCATCCCCATTACCACCCACCTCCCCATTACCCCCAATACCCCATTACCCCCACCACCCCATCGTCCCATTACCCCCCAATCATCCCCATCACCTCCATAACCCCATTACCCCCCATCACCCCTTTACCCCCACCCCATCACCTCCACCACCCCATTACCCCCCATCACCCCATAAACCCCCACCACCCGATTGCCCCCCATCCCCCCACCACCCTTCCACCCCCCCCACACCCATCCATCCCCCCCCTTCCCCGTACCGGACCACAGCAGCAGTTTTCCGTGCGCCTCCTCCTGCGATCCCGAGTCTGCAGCCAGCAGCGTGGATGTTTGCGCGTAGGGCAGCGCGGAGCCCAGGCAAGAGCCGAAGCGCAAACGCTCGCAGGCCGCGGGCCGCCGGCAGCGCTCGGGAGGAGCGGCCGAAGCGTTGAGCGGCGCCGCGGGGCAGCGGCGGGGACCGAGCGCCAGGCCCAGCGCCAGCGCCCACAGCCAGCACGGGCCGCCCCCGCCCCACGGCCCGCACGGAGCCCCCGAGCCCGGCGGAGCGGCCCCGGGGCCCGCCATGGCCCGGCCTGTGGGGGGGGGGGGGGGGGTTGGGAGGGGGGGAGAGTTGGGGTGGGACGGGGCGGGAAGGGAAGGGAGGAGAGAAGCGGGAGAGGGAGGGAGGAGGGGAGTTGGGGAGGAGGGAAAGTTTTGCGAAGGGAAAGTTGGGGTCGGGAGGAGGGAAGTTGGGTGTGGGAGGGGAAAAGGAGAAGTGGGTTTTGTGAGGGGAAAAAGTTCTGTCGGTGTGGGGAAAGTGGGTTTTGTGAAGGGAAGGTTGGGTTCGGGAGGGAGAGAAGTTTGGTTCGTGAAGGAAAAGCGGGTTTTGCGAGGGAGAAAGTTGGTTTTGCGAGGGCAGAATTGGGCTTGGGGGAGAGAAACGGGTTTTGTGAGGGGAGAAAGTTGATTTTGTGAGGGGGGAGAGTGGGTTTGAGAGGGGGAGAAGCGGCTTTTGTGAGGGGAACGTGGGGTTTGGGAGGAGAAGAGCTCAGTTTATGAAGGGAAAGTGGGTTTTGTGAGGGGAAAATCAGGTTTGGGAGGAGAAAAGTGGCTTTTGTGGGGGCGAAGCTGGGTTTTGCGAGGAGAAAAAGTTGTTTTTGGGAGAGGAAGGTTGGTTTTGTGAGGATAAATGGCGAGATTTGGGGAGGGAAAGTGGGGTTGTGAGGAGGAGAAGTGTGTTTTAGGAAGGGAAGAGCTGAGGTTGTGAGGGAAAAGTCAGGTTTTGAGGAGGAAAAGTGGGTTTTGTTGGGGGAAAAAGTGTTTTCTTGAGAGGGAAAGGGAGAAAACTTGGGTTTGTTGGGAGAAAAAGTTTTCTTGTGGGGAGGAAGTTGGGTTTGGGAGGAGAAAAGGTGAGTTTTAGGGAGGGCAAAGTCAGGTTTTGGAGAGGAAAAAGAGATTTGGGGAGGGGAAGATGGGGTTTAGTGAGGGAAAAGTTGGGTTTTGTGAGGGAAAAGTGAAGTTTGGGGAGGGAAACTTGGTTGTGTGAGGAGGAAAAGGGAGTTTTGTGAGGGGAAAAGGTGGGGTTGTGAGGAAAAAGCAGGTTAGGAGTGGGTTTGGGAGGAGGAAAAGTGAGTCTGGCTGGAGACCTGTGAGCAGTGTTGTCCCCCCAGGGGTCGGTGCTGGGTCCTTGTTCAACATCTTCATCAGTGACCTGGATGAGGGGATGGCGGCCACCCTCAGCGAGTCTGTGATGATACGAAGCTGGGAGGATTGGCTGAAGGCCGTGCTGCCATTCAGCGAGAGCTGGACAGGCTGAGAGCTGGGCAGCAAGAAACCGGATGAGGTTCAAACCGGATCACCAGGTTTGATGTCACCAGGGGACACATCTCAAACCGGATGAGGTTCAACAAAAGCAAGTGTGGAGTCTTGCATCTGGGGAGGAATAATGGCATGCAGCGGTACGGGATGGGGGATGAGCTGCTGGAGGGGAGCTCTGCACAGAGGGACCTGGGTGTCCTGGTGGACGACAGGTTGCCATGAGCCGACAGTGTGCCCAGGTGGCCAAGAAGGCCAATGGCATCCTGGCTTGCATCAGAAACAGTGTTGCAAGCAGGAGCAGAGAGGTGATTGTTCCCCTATAGTCAGCACTGTGTCCAGTTTTGGGCCCCTCACTGCAAGAAAGACATTGAGGCCCTGGAACGTGTTCAAAGGAGGGCAACAAAGCTGGTGAGGGGTCTGGAACACAGGGCTGATGAGAGGCTGAAGGAGCTGGGAATGTTCAGCCTGGAGAAGAGGAGCTCAGGGGAGACCTCATTGCTCTCTATAAATTCCTGAAGGGAGGTTGTGGTGAGCTGGGGGTCGGCCTCTTCTCTCGTGTCATCAGTGATAGGACCAGGGGGAATGGCTTCAAGCTACGGCAGGGGAGATTCAGGCTGGACATGAGGAAGTGTTACTTTTCAGAAAGGGTGGTCAGGCACTGGAATGGGCTGCCAAGGGAGGTGGTGGAGTCACCGAGCCTGGGGGTGTTCAAGGAAAGGCTGGATGTTGTGTTGAGGGACGTGGTTTAGTGGGAGCTATTGGGAATGGGTGAACGGTTGGACTGGGTGATCTTTTAGGTCATTTCCAACCTCAGCGATTCTATGATTCTATGATTCTATGATTCTACTCTGCCCTGCTGAGGCCTCACCTGGAGTACTGCGTCCAGTTCTGGGCTGCCCAGGACAAAACAGACAGGGATCTCTTGGGAAGAGTCCAGCGGAGGGCCACCAAGATGGTGAGGGGCCTGGAGCATCTCTGCTATGAGGAAAGGCTGAGTGAACTGGGTCTGTTCAGCCTTGAGAAAAGAAGGCCGAGAGGGGACCTGATCCAGGGTTATGAATACCTGAGGTGTGGGGGGCAGAGTGGTGAGGCCAGGCTCTGTTCAGTGGTGCATGGAGGCAGGACGAGGGGAAACGGCCACAGGCTGCAGCATAGGAAGTTCTGCATGAATGTGTGCAAGAACTTCTTCACAGTGAGGTGATGGAGCACTGGAACAGGCTGCCAGGTAGCTGTGGGGTCTCCTTCTCTGCAGGTATTGAAGACCTGCCTGGATGACTACCTGTGTGACCTGCTGTAGGGAACCTGCTTTGGCAGGGGGTTGAACTCCATGAGCTCTGCAGGTCCCTTCCAACCCCTACAGTTCTGTGATGCTGTGATTCTGTGAGATTTAGAGGTGGACAACTGGGGTTTTGGGAAGGAAAAGTTGGTTTCTGAGGGAAAAAAAAAGTGAGGAAAATTAGTTTTGAGGGAAGGAAAGTTGGTTTTGAGGGGGAAAAACATTGGTTTTAGGGAGGGGGAGTTGTTTTTTTGAAGGAAAAAAAAAGGTTGGTTTTAGGAGGAAAACAGTTGGTTTGGGGGAGGAAAGATTTTATTTTGGGGGAAAAAAAAAACATTTTTATAGGGAAAAGGGTTTTTTTTTGGAGGAGAAAAGTTTTTTGAGGGGAAAAAAAGTCAGTTTTTGGGGGGGAAGTTGCCTTTTTGGGGAGGAAATGTTCATTTTTGGGAGGGAGGGTTGGTTTTTAGGGTGCAAGTTGCTTTTTGGGGAAGGGAAGTTGGTTTTCTGGGGAAAGGGGGAAGTTGGGGAAGGAAAGGAAGGGAAGCTGTTTCTTCGGGGAGGAAAGTTGAATTTTGAGGCGAAAAAAGCGGAGTTTGGGGGAAGAAGAGCTGCTTTTTAAGGGGAAAAAACACCAGTTTTTGAATGGAAGCTGCTTTTTGAGGGAGGAAGTTGCTTTTTGGGCACTGAGAGGAGAACATCACTGGGGTGGAGGGCGCTCGTTCCCAAGTGTCTCTCGTTGTCCCCAAGTGTACCCAGTGTACCGTGTTGTCCCAAGTGCCCCCAGCCTCCCCACTACCTCCAGTTGTCCCACATTGTCCCCAGCATCCTCGAGTGTCTCCAGGTGTCCCCGTCTGAAGCAGAATCGCCACCATTCGCACTCCGGTGTCACCGCCGCCACGTCGCTGTCACCGTATGACCACCAGGGGACATTCAGGTGTTTCCCAACCCATGGAGCTGCCACCAAGTGGGCCGCCGAAGTGCCCCCAGCCCTCCCAAGGGACAGGAGTGGCATCCCATAGGGCCACCCGTGGCCTCCACGTGTCCCCCGTCATCACACCCACGGGGCCACAGAGGAGGATGGGGTGTGGGCAGGGACGGGAACGGGGACACCAGTGGGAATGGAACGGGAACGGCGGCAGCGATAGTGTGGGTGGGCGGGGCCTGTAACAGGGGGCGTGGCCTAAGGGGCGTGGTTCAAATGGGGGCGTGGCCTGAGCGCATTCGCTGTTGGGGGGGTGTGACAGGGGGCGTGGCTTAGGCTGGGGGCGTGTCCGCGGGGATGCGGTGATGAATGCAGGCGGTGGCAGCAGCGGAGCTTTATTGTATTGGTGGGGATACGCGCGGGGATCCCGCGGGGCTCAGTCTTCTGGGCTCTTCGGGGCTCCCATGGGCACCGCCGCACTGTTCCTGTTCCCTTCTATTGCTGCAGGGTCCTGGGCTGTAACCACAGGGAGATGGGGTCTGTGCCGCGCAGCACCTTCCGTTCCCATCCCCATCTCCCCAGCCACATCCCCCCATCCCAGTCCAAACCCCACTTCCACTGCACCCCGTCCCCATGTCCTCACCTGTTCTCCCGCAGCATCGCTTCCAACACCGACACACCACAACTACCACGATGGCCACGGCCACAAAGGCGGCAGTGAAGGCGCACACCAACACCACCGTATCCGGAGCTGACGTTTCGGAGTCTCCTACAACGTGACCCCAAAATGAGGGGGGGAACCCTGTGACCACATCCCACAGCCCTGGGAAACCCCAAAGATGCCAAAGCCCCATAGGAGCCCCATAGCTTCCTAATGAGGACATGGGGTGGGGGATGGAGACACCACAACGATGTGACATGGCAGAGGGTGGGGATACCCCAGTAATGGGACACGGAGCAGGGGATGGGGACACCCCAATGATGGGACATGGGCAGGGGATGGGGACACACCAGTGATGGGACATGGGGACACTCCATGGGCAATGACGGGGACACTCCAAGGATGGGACGTGGTGAGCAGGAGGACCCCCATTAAACCCCAATGGATAATGAATGGCACTGGGGACCTCATGATATGGGGACACTCACGTGGCACTGCTGTCGTCACCCCAGAGCCCATGGGGAACACGGGGGAGTCGGTGGTCATGGTGAGGTGTTGGGGTCAATGTCCAGAGTGCTGTGATGGGGACCGGTGCTGTCTTGTTCCTTGTCTGGGGGGCACGGGGATGTCACTGTCCCCAACCCTGCCCCGACCCTATCCCTCAGTGTCCTTGAGTTCCCATAACAGCCCCATTGGTGTCCCCAGGGTGGGCTGCGTGCATGGGAGGGGAGGGGGAATGGGAATGGGAAGCTGGGGGCAGCTGTAGGGCGAGAATTCAGGGCAACTACAGGGCAGCCTGAGGGACAGCTATAGAGCTGGCTGTAGGGCAGCTATAGGGCATGTATGGGGTGGCTGTAGGGTGGACTGAGACATGGCTATAAGGCAAAACAGGGCAGCTACAGAGAGCTGTAGGATAACTATAGAACACGTGTAGTGTGGCTATCTAGGGAATGAGTAGGGCAGCTATAGGGCTGGGGTTCAGAGCAGGTGGAGTGTGCGGCAGCTACAGAACATGCTGTAGGGCAGCTATAGGGCAAAGGCTCAGGGCAGCTATAGGTTGGAATGGAGAGTATCTATAGGGTGAGCAGTGATGCAGCTATAGGGCAGGGATCCAGGCTGCTTATGGGGCATACTGTGGAGCCGCTGTGGGGCAGGCTATGGGGCAAGATGCATCCAGTGCATCGCTGGGGGCAGCCCCACCAGAAGCAGCTCCCCTCCCCAGACCCCCCCACGCCCCTTTGCCGGGCAGCACGAGGTTCCGCCTCCCTTTGTCCCTATCCCACCCCCTCCCCTAATCCGGGGGTCCCCGCTCCCCTCACCGTAAAGTCGCGGCGCCGCTCGGAGCAGCGGAACGGCTCCGGCACCGCCCGTTTGGCGCCGGTCCCGGTGATGCCACCGCTGCACCGGGCGGAGCCGTGGAGAGGAGCGACGCTGCCAGGACCTGCCAAGGGCTGCCCCGCCCAGATGTGCTCCTCCCCGGCCAGATGTGACTCACCCAACTGTGCCCGGCCGCTTCGGGGGGGGACGGGTGGGAGGGGAACACACGCCGAATCCCCCGGCTCGGGTTGGGGGGGCTTTGGGATCCCTTGCAGCCCAACCCTTCTTGTGATACATCATCTAAAAGGACCCTTTCAACACGACGCTCCTTTTGTTCTTTAAGGACGTTTCCAACCATTCGATGGTTCTGTCATCTTTAAAGACCTTTCCAACACGACCATCCCGTAGTTCTACGATCTTTAAGGAACCTTCCAACCCAACGCGTTTCCCATTAGGAAATGGGATCCCGTTGGGATAACGGGACTCAGTTGGGGATAATGGGATCTTAATAGGATCCAATTGGGATAACGGGATCCCAGTGGAGTTAATGGAGTCCCATTGGCATAATGAGATCCAACTGGGGCAGTGGGATCGCAATGGGGATAATGGGATCTTACTGCAGACCATGGGATAGCGGAGTGGTTATAGGATCCCACTAGGTATAACAGAATCACATTGGAAACAATGGGATCCCACTGGGATAATGGCATCCAACGAGGGATAATTGGGTCACAATGGGGTTAATGGGATCCAAATGGGATAATAGGATCCCAGCGTGGTTACGGCATCCCGCTGGCATAATGGGATCCCAGTGGCGTTAATGGGATCACAATGAGACAATGAAATCCCACGGCTTAACCGAGCCGCCAGCTCTACTCTCTACTTCCGGTCCCTTCCACTTCCGGTCTCCGCTCCCGCCGCTCTTCGCCCCGCCCCCCTCCCCCCAATGAGAATCCCCTTTGAGAGTCCCAGTAACCGGGAAACCCCGTTAAGGCGCGGGGCGGAACTTTTGTGCTCAGCATTTCTGTGGGGACCGCTCATCGCATTGCACCTCTGAGGCGGAACGTTGTTTCCGGGGGGAAGGGGGGCGCTATTCGCGTCGCACTACCGAACCGGAAGTAGGCGCGGAACCCATTTCCGAGCGGGGCGGAACTTCCCGTTTCGGAGTTTCCGGGGGGACCGCATTCCGCGTCGCACCGCCGCGCTCCGGTACCGGCGCGGAGGCCCCGAAGATGGCGGCGGGCGGCGGAGGGCGGCGCTGAGCGCGGCGGCGCGGCCATGGAGGGCGGCGGGGCCCAGCCCAGCCTGCAGCTGGTGTATCAGGCCGTGCAGGCCCTCTACCACGACCCCGACCCCAGCGGCAAGGAGCGGGCCAGCTGCTGGCTGGGCGAGCTGCAGCGCTCGGTGCGGGCCGCGGCGGGGCGGGGGCGGGGGGAGCACGTGGTGGGGGGTGGGGAGTTGGAGCTGGGGAGGCGGCTGTTCTCGAAGGCGAGAGGGGTGGGGTGGTGTGGGGAGTGGCTCCGAGGTGGTTCCGGTGCTCCCCCAGGAATGTCCCGGTACCCGCCCAGGAGAGACTCAGTGCTCCCAGGAGTGTTCCGGATCCCCCCTAAGAGGTCCCCGGTGCCTCCCAGGAGATCCTCTGTGCTCCTAGCATGGCCCTGATTCTCCTCGGGGCATTCCGGTGTCCCCCAGGACTTCCTTCATTCCCCCTAAGAGAGTTCCTCGTGCTCCTGATACAGTTCTGGTGCTCCCCAGGGGGTCCCGATGCCCTCCAGGAGTTCCCTGGAGTTCTTGGTATGGCTCTGATGCCCCGAGGAGTGTCCTGGTGCCCTCCAAGAGTTTCCTAGTATCCACTAAGAGATCCCCAGTGCTCCGGGTACAGGCTTGGTGGTGCCTAGTGCTTCCGTGCTGTACTCCAGGAATGTCGTGGTGACCCTAGGAGGTCCCCTGAGTTCCTGATGTGATCTTAGTGCCCCCCAGGAGAACACTGGTGCTCCTGGAATGGCCCTGATACCACCCAACAGGTCCTTGATTCCCTTCTGTACACTCCCAGTATCTCCCAGGACACTCCCTCTGCTCCAAGTATGGTCCTGGAGCCCCTTTGGAGTGTCTTGGTGCTCCTAGAATGGCCCCGATTCCCCCTGAAGATCTACAGTGGCCCCCATGACATACCTAACGCTTCTGGTATGGATTTGGTGTCCCCCAGAGCTTTCTTTAGGAGCGTCCCAGTGGCTGCAGGAGGTCCACAGTGCCCCCAGGCGCTCCTGGAGCGGCCATGGTTTCTCCTCAGGGTCAGGTGGCTGAGGCCAGGCTGAACTGGTGGCAAGATCTTGGCACCAGGATCCCGTTAGGGACCATCTCACATTAATTCTTCTCTGATGCTTCAGATTGGCAGCAATGGAGCTCTGCAGAGGTTGAGCTGCAGAGCACGTAGGGCTGTGGGCTTTGGGGAGAAGATAAGAACCCAAATGCCTTCAGTGTTCTCCTGCCTCATGGATGTCCCATGGACGTAAATAAGCTCCAAGTGAGCGTTTTGTGGCCCCTGCTGTGCGTAGAGCAGCGAGCACAGTTGGTTTTTAGTAATGGTTTGGTGCAGTGTGGTTGTGCTTCGAGGTGGATTTTTGGCTTAGTGACTGGTGGGAGCCAGGCAGGTCTCATGTTGATGGCTCATTCTGATGCGGTGTTCCTTGGTTCTATTCCTAACATTAATGAAATGAGAATAGTGTGGAAATGGAGAGTTAGAAGGGTGTCTCTGATTTAACCTTAAAGAACCCCAGACCTGTCAATCAAAGCATGCTGGAAAAAACATCTGGGTACTTCCCCAGACAGCAGCTGCATCAGAGCAACCGACGCCGTGTTCGGCACCGTGACAGCGATCATCCCCACAGAGAAACCCTGCGGGTGGATGTGCCACCACAGATGGAGCACTGGGCTGAGCTCCTGCCTGAAACAGGGATGCAAAATCACGGGATCGTTAGGGTTCTTCCTAAGGTGCACTTTCAGCTCAGCTGTTGGGATTCATCTCGGAAAGTTGGGCGCGCCTTGAGAGCAGCAGTCCCCTTTGTTAGGGTGGTGGTCTTTTGTTAGGGTCTCAGTCCTCATTCGGATGGTGGTCTTTGGCAGCTGTCTTTGTTTGGCAGCGGTCTTTGATCGGGTGGTGATCTTTGTTAGGGCCTTGCTCTTTGTTGGGGCGCCCATCTTCGTTGTTGGGGTGCTTCTCATCCCCTTCTACCCCCATCTTCAGTGCTGGAGTTGGCGTTCCGGGTTACGCTCCTCTTGCTGTTCAGGTTTTGCAGCTCAAAGTCATTTTTGAAGCCCGTGGTGGGATCAGGAGGTGAAAGAAATCCTCACATGGGCTCTGGGGTGATGTGGATCTGGGGTGATGTGGATCTGGGGTGATGTGGATCTGGGGTGATGTGGATCGGGGATGGAGCCGAGTCTGGGGAAGAGGAGGAGTGAGCCTTGATTTTCAATATGCAGTTAGGGGGTTTAGGTGTCGCGTTAGGATTTTAGGTTCAGCATTAGGGTTAGCATTTTAGGATTAGAGTTAGTGTGTTAGGGTTGGCATTGAGAGGGTTTGGAACAAAATGGGCCAAAGGTCCCTTCCACCCCAAACCACTGAGGGGCTGCAGGGCCCACGTAGCCTGACCCATTCCCCAATTCCTTGATGGATCCACTGCTTTCCAGCCTCACTTCTCATCAGCCAAACCCTTTGGGACTGTGTCTGGTGCATGCAGCAATGGGAAATGTGATCCGGGGGAGCTGTTGGGGCTGAGGGAGAGAAAGGTGGATTTCAGAGGAGCAAAGTGTTACTTTTTAAACGATTCCACTGAAATGAAAACTGCCATTCCAGTTGGGTGCCACCACCGGCCTCAGCCCCGTGGTCCAGCGTTCAGTAGCCCAATCTTTGGTGATGAGGAGCTCACTGTAGTGCTAACAGTGTTGGTGCAGGGGACGAGGAAGTGTGTTTGCATCTTTAGGAATCTCCCTTCACCCGCAGGTGCACGCCTGGGAGATCTCAGACCAGCTCCTGCAGATCAGGCAGGATGTGGAGTCGTGCTACTTTGCAGCACAGACGATGAAGATGAAGATCCAGACCTCATTCTACGAGCTCCCCACCGACTCGCACGCGTCCCTGCGTGATTCTTTGCTGTCCCACATCCAGAACTTGAAGGATCTCTCGCCGGTCATCGTCACTCAGGTAGGGGGTGGCTCTGGGACTGCTTCCAGTGGGGTTAGGGCTTCCCCTGGAGCAGGTGCTGCTGATTTTTTTTCCACCAAAGCTCTTTTCAAAGGTCTCCTTGGCTGCTTTTCCTCCATCGTAGAGCAAGGAGAGCGGAGAACACTGGTGCCATGCTGCCAAGCACAAGATGCTATTCCCTGTCTCCATTTGATAACTGTATTTAAACTGGTCGATGCTTTGTCCCCGCTGATTTGATTTCTGCATCCCCTGCGGACACTGTTGTGTTCTGGGAAACCCTTCCCATCCCATTATCCCAAATCTCAGCAGTGCTGTGCGGTCCGGCCAAGGCTTTAAATAACCCAGCACCAAGCACGGGGCACGGAGCCTGCATCAGCCACACAGCAGGGCAGTTGGGATGCCAAACCTGAGCTCATTTTTCCCCAATACTATTGGAACACAGACAGCAAGCTGGAGGAAGGGAGCCTGCAGAGCTCCTCCTGCCAGCTGGCTAGGAATGCCCTTCCAGAACTGGGGTGGAGGTGCTTGGTGAGATGGGATGGCTGGGGAGCAGAGGGGACATTGCTGTCCCCACAATGAGGGACGTTTGAGGGTTTAGCACCTCCACTCCAAGCTGTGTTTTCTCTCCTTCCCAGCTCGCTTTAGCAATAGCAGACCTCGCCCTGCAGATGGCTTCTTGGAAGGGCTGCGTGCAGACGCTGGTCGAAAAGTAAGTGATGGTTTGTGTTTGTTGCTGGGCACATCCATGCCATCCGAAAAGACACGTGGCAGAAAATGGGCCAGCAGTGGGGGGGGTGTTTCCGTGGCTCAGTCAGTAATGAGGTGGAATTCCCATCCATCTCTCCATGCGTGACAGCGTTTAGGATTTCCACGTCTGCTTTTCTGCCCCCTGCCCACGTGCTCTCTGTGCTCCGCTTGCTTCCAGGTACAGCAATGATGTCACCTCACTGCCCTTCCTGCTGGAAATCCTCACGGTGCTGCCCGAGGAGGTGCACAGCCGCTCGCTGCGCATCGGGGCCAACCGCCGCACCGAGATCATCGAGGACTTGGCCTACTACTCCAGCACTGTTGTCTCACTGCTGGTAAGGGCATGTGCAGCAGCACTGTGTCCATTGGATCTCCTCCTGATGCAGTTTCCCTTCCACACCAAACAGTTCTGAGATCAAAGGTCCCCCTTTCACCCCTGCTGGGATTGGAGATCCCTTCCACCCCAGACAGTTCTGGGATTGGAGATCCTTTCCACACCAAACCAGTCTGGGATGGAAGGTTCCCTTCATCCCAAACCATTGTGGGATTGGAGATCCCTTCTACACCAAACCAGTCTGGGATAGAAAGTCCCCTTCATCCCAAACCATTGTGGGGTTGGAGGTCCCTTCCACACCAAACCAGTCTGGGATGGAAGGTCCCCTTCACCCCAAGCCATTGTGGGATTGGAGATCCCTTCTACACCAAACCAGTCTGGGATAGAAAGTCCCCTTCATCCCAAACCATTGTGGGGTTGGAGGTCCCTTCCACACCAAATCAGTCTGGGATGGAAGGTCCCCTTCACCCCAAGCCATGGTGGGGTTGGAGGTCCCTTCCACACCAAATCAGTCTGGGATAGAAAGTCCCCTTCATCCCAAACCATTGTGGGGTTGGAGGTCCCTTCCACACCAAACCAGTCTGGGATGGAAGGTCCCCTTCACCCCAAGCCATTGTGGGATTGGAGATCCCTTCTACACCAAACCAGTCTGGGATAGAAAGTCCCCTTCATCCCAAACCATTGCGGGATTGGAGGTTCCAAACCATTCACCAATTTGTCTTCTGGCTTTCAGTGTTTGAGTAGAGATAAATGTCCTTAATCTCATGGCTGTGGGTCCAGCGATGGGCTGGACAGAAGTGCAAAATCTGCCTTTGTAACTTATGAACCCAGTGAGGATCTCTGGAAGCCCAGCCTGGACTTTTGGGTGCTGTAGGATCTTAGAGTCATCAAACCATAGAATAC